CGGAGCACCACTGGCTCTACCGACGTCGCTTGCTTCGGTTGCTAAATAAATGGCACGTTTAGCGACTGAACGGCACGCTCCGAGTTTCAGTTTGTCACGGAAGCCCTCACAGCAGTTCAAAGAAAAAGCTTTCACCATGAAGTACTATGCACACGCGGCTAAAATGATGCGAATGTCCCAAGTAAAGACCTTCTAACTTATCGTTTGCTGAGATTTGATTACTCCGAAATCACGGATGACTCCACAATAACTCTCGGTAGCTCTTGTCTCATTAAACACATCGCAGTTAACGCCCAACAAAATCGCTCTCGATCCTCAACCACACAACATTTATTTAAACAAGAGTGGTATTCTAACGCGTTTAATATCCTTGCCCACAATAATAACTGTTATTTTCGGAAACACGATAGAAGTTTCATGGTCGAGAACAACCTACTAACGTAATAAAATTGAGTTTTCCCGTTTCTCCTATAGCATGCATAAGATCGTGTCAAGCGATGACTGCAGGTGGTGCCGCTTGATCCCAGCATTACAGGCCTCTATCCGCGATCTAGCCTCATAAGAAATCAGTGGTGCCAGTGCTATTAGACATAAATCGTTTATTTGCATCAGTACACCCATACCTGCCGGATGTCGGGACGAGGCGCAAAACCGTACATCCGGCCAACATTGGAGCCGGTTTTCGGCCGAAATTGCCTCGACACTCGCCAAGAAGCAACGTGCTGTTTCGGCGACTCGTTTGTGTACTTTATTTGTTCAGTCATATTTTTGGGTCCCGGGCCACTATGTACACCTAAAAAAAGTAATGTACTGTGTTAATTACACCTTGACGAGAAGCAGACACGTAGCCAGAATTTTGTTTAAGGGGGGGGGGGGGGGGGGGGCGGCGCCCATGACAAAGTTTTCTATGATGGGGTGGGGGGAGAGGAGTCTCCAACAGAATGGAAGATTTCGGAGGGGGGGGGGGGGGCGGGTCTTATGGCTCCCCCCCTCCCCCTGGCTACGTGCCTGACGAGAAGGGGTATTGTAGTTTTAGATCTTTATAAAAAGGTGTAGTGCATTTTCACACGTTCTAAGAAACGTGTTTAAAAAATCACACATTTTTAAAGGTGTGATGGTTTACACTTTTTATAAGGTATATTGCTACACTTATTAGGGTTTTAGTTATGGGACACCCCACTTAAATGTATAGCCTGACGAGAAGGGATATTTTAATTTTACATCTTTACAAAAAGGTGTAGTGCATTATCACATGTTTTAAGAAACGTGTTTAAAAAAATCACACATTTTTAAACGTGTGAGGTTTACATTTCTTTTATAAGGTCCATCGCTACACTTATTAGGGTGTTAGTTATGGGACACCCCACTTACATGTATAAAGGTGTGAAAATGTTTAATGTGTATATACCTCTAACGGAAGAAAATCTCTTTCAGGTGATTACATCGCGTGCCGATGAAACGATCTGTCGATGACACGTCGTTCGATGAACTGATTTGACCGCCAATGAGTGACGACTGCCAATAGAATTTCGGAGAATAATTCTGCCGGCTGCCGGGAGACTCGACCCTACCCAAGAATTACCTCGGTTCTTGTTTGTTTCCCAACATTCTGAATTGTATACCACCTTATTAGTACCTCTTCGGATATTACAAAAAAAAAAAGGAAAAAAAAAAAACGATGGCAGGCGCAAACTCTGACAGCCCGGTTCACAGTCATGTGAGAGACTGACAGGTGCTCGTCAGTCGCCACCCTGCCTTGAAAGCTTGAAAGCTTGAACCGGAGCGTGCAGAGAACTTGTTCCACGGTCATGGTAGACGCAATTGTCTGCCTCCTCAAAGTCCGGGCGCCGAACGAAGCTAGTCGCAGACTCGACGCACAACGGCTTTCGATAGCCGGTACTGTCGCCGAAAGTCGTCGCCGGGGAGTTGAAAGGCGTCCCCGGTGGTCTCAGTAGCGACGCCGACGGTGGCGGAAGATAACCTCGGCCGCAGCGTACGGCACCGCCATCTTGACAAAGTTTAACTTCGCCTCGATCCGAAGCGAAGATCTCGAACTCAAACCACGGCCCTCGCAGTTCGGAAACGTCACTTTGACGTCAGCGACAACTTCGACAAACGAGGTTTTTATTAGAATACAATTAAATGCAAAGGTGCAAGCGAGCTGGACAAGAATGGTGAAAATAATCCCTGGAGAAGGGGAACAAGAGGGACAAAGGACAAACACAAATCTCCAAACACAGATAGGTGACTAGTGAGCGACCGAAAAAATCCGCCTGGTCCGGGTATCGAACCCGGGACCTCTCCATTACAGGTGGAGCGCTCTACCAACTGAGCTAACCAGGGGTTAGACGTCAGTGGAGCAAACGGGTTTTATCAGCCGCCACCAGTCTAACACCAACAAGGGTGAAGCTTGCAATTTAAGGTTATTATTAGAATACAATTAAATGCAAAGGTGCAAGCGAGCTGGACAAGAATGATGAAAATAATCCCTGGAGAAGGGGAACAAGAGGGACAAAGGACAATATATATAAGGAATATATATTTTGGAAGGACACGATTTTAGAAGAAAATTACCTTTTTATCAAGCAGGTATTTGAACAACTTCCTATTTATCTACGAGTCCCCCATTGACGTCACGCCGCGTGGTTGTCATTACCGCCGTGCGAGGTGCTTGTCCTTCCGTGACAGGATTCGCAGATGTCTGCGACAGGCTCTCAAGGTGCTCTCGCTAGGGTGACCACCTTCCTGCTAGTGAAATGCGGGACACGCTGACCGGGGGGGCAGTGTTATCACATTTGCGGGATCTAAGAAGGATACGTTAGAGAAAATGTATTACCACGCACACCATGAAATATGGATGAAAGCATATTATACACCTGCATGAACACTGTATTGCGGCGATTATAGTGAGTTCGTTTCACACGCACTGGCACCGTTCGAGTTCTCTCCCAGAATGCATCGCACTCGCAGAGTGTTGCACGGAAAACTGGACTCAAACGAACTCGCCAAATGCACCGAGCGCAGAAGACTGATGCTGCCGCCATCTATGTTGTAGAAAAGGTACCGACCTCAAACCGAAACTAGCGCCTTTCTGTTCGGAGTGATGGTGGGAATGCAAGAGTGCAGTCACTACCAACGTTTATCTACAAACGTTGAACGCTGCAACCTGTAGTTTATAGTTGCAATGGCTTCAAGCAACTCGGCTGCCGTAGAGATAGTTACAGACGGCGTAAATTTCCGCACCCAGCTGTGTACAAAGCAGCTGGTTGCGATCTTTCAATTCTTATAACCGTTTACACTGAAGAAAACTGATGATGCTGTCCGAGCAGAAGCTTGATCCGTTCGAGCATGGTATTATGCGTGAACCACTGAGAGGGTACGGCTTAAAACTAGTCTGTTGGAATATCCAGCAAAACCTTTCATGGGACTTTCGATTTCGATCGTCATTACAGGTGGATCAGATATTAGCCTTGGTGAGGACGTCGAGAACGAGAGTTTTCTCGAACAAAATTCGACGGGGCAAGTCAGCTGACATAGGTAAATTTTAAACATGATGATGTTGCCCAAGCCTCGGGTAAAGTCACTATGTTTAACTTTCTCTGATGCTTACTTAGCAATCAGAGGTCAGCTCAGGGAGTTTGCTCGACAAATTTTCAATTTTTCACCCGCACACGGATGTTGATAAACATCTCGGGGGCCGCTGGTGCGTTTGTTCTGAGCTTTTCTTGATACACTGGTATAGTTCAGCGTCTGTACGGCAACAGAGCGACTTAAAACCTGCAAATAAAGCACTGTTCGTCAATTGCTTCCTTTGTGAAATAGCAGACCCTCACAATTCAAGCTCGCGTTTGCTTCCGTTGCCGGCGGGACGCGATTTCTGTCAGAAAATCTACGTTTTTTCCTTTCGGTTCCGCGACACATCGTAGCAGACGAACCCTCGTCATCTGCTCCCGCTCCTCGCGGGCCTCGCCGGAGCGAGGCATGACGGGATTGTATTTTGGCGCACGCCCGATTTTCTCGGTGCAGCGAGTGCATGCACGCGTGGGGTGCCGCCGCTGAAACGAACTCGAAGAGTGCAACTACTCGTGGAGTTTATGCCGAAACGAACTCGTTTTACGCCGCGAGTGGGCACACGTGGGCACGAGTGCCGTGAAACAAACTCGCTATAACCTGAAATAATTCTGACACCCAGTGATGTATATATTCTTTTTTACATGACAAGTTATTAAATCTGTCTAAGTTTAAGACATCTAAATTGACTGCAACAGAGCTCAATGCATCAAAAGTAAACAAGAAACACTAAACCTTTTTTCGGCTTATTGTTTCCTGTCGATATATTTTTACCAACATCCTCTTACTCATTCCAGAACCCTATGTTTTTATTAAAACTGAGGCTTAGACGAGTTGGTCCATACTCAATCAAAAGGTTCAAAGGATAAAAAAAAAAACGAAGACAATAAAGGCAGAAAGACGACAGGACAGGCGCTAATTTTTCACTAAAAATATTTCACAGCAACCCTTTCGCATTGGCACAGTTTGATTCGAAAATAATTACAATAATTTATATTTCATATTTTGGCAAGAAATTGTCTCACGCAGTACTTTTTCTCCAGGGAGAGGGGCACAACAGCACATGCGCGTCGATATCCTGCAAGAACGAAGCTCGCTTCCTGCAATGCTAGTATAGTAAATAGCGTACCATCGCAATTCACGCGATTACCAGCGGCCTCCACGCTTCCCAGCACCCCGTTGTTCGGCAGCGCCATGAGATAAATTGTGAACTTTACGACAGCGTGAAATGCGGGACATTTTTAATATTTTTGGTATATCTTGCGGGACGCGGGACACAAGCCGTCAATGCGGGACAGTCCCGCGAGTCGCGGGACTTGTGGTCACCCTAGCTCTCGCTGTTCCACTTAGCTGAACGGCGGGACTACCATGGAATGTTTCTGAGACCCGGCCCGGCGCTACAGTAAACAACACACAATAAAACGTAAACATTGACTTTCTTACGCTTGTTGTTTATGAAACAAAATGAAGCACGACCGAGCATCCTTGATCGTGCGAGTCGGTGTCTCGGCGTGAAGCAGTTTCAGTGGCGACCTTGCACGCTGTTGACATCCTCACCGCTGCAACATGACGTCACGGAACGATGTGGGTTTGTTTGAGATCTGCAGATGACGGCGGAAGACTGCGGCGAGGTGCCCGGGTGCGATGTTCACTCGATGATGATGTCAGCTATGCCGCAGATGCTGAGTCCCTTGTCGCCAATCACCTTGAAAGTGACTTCAGTCTTCATCTGAAAACAGCGGTGTGCGCGACAAGGCACGTAAATTAGCGGGATGCTCTTCCGAACCTGTAGTCGCGTAGAAAGCGCGCATCCTTCGGTTATTTGATTGACGTATACGTGTATAAATGACTCACTCGCAGACGCGCTAACCAGGAGTGTTCGAGGTCCCCGACAAATGAATGCAACGAGAAAGAAGGAAAGAGAGAAGAAAAGTATTGCTGCGTTAGAGAAAGAAGTGCAGAATTATCAAGTGCCGACCACGGTTCTAATCAATGCAGGTGGTAGCTGGCGACATAAATCGATTAAACGGTAGCAGAATCTATTTCCTCGCTGAATCCGCGCGTGGTATTAGCGGCGAGATGTTTAGGTGGCGCCCTCCCATGGTTCCCTCTCGTAACGTCATTACCTTGCGAACAGCAAGTTGGGTGGTATTTGCAATTAGCATGGTAGAAGCTTGAGATCATAGCGCTCTGAAAGCAACCCTGCAAACACCGTCAAAATGGAAGTTCTTCAATTCCTCTTATTTCCGTCGACGGGAAATCCTCAGCATTCGGCCAATTGTGGCAGGCCTACCACAGCGTCGCTTTCAGAGCGACGACTATCAGCGGACACCATTGCGCGACCTGTCACCGCATGTTGATGCCAACATCCTTCTCTGCGGATGACACGCTACAGTGTCCTTTTGAAGTGCACCAAGCATGACGAGTTCGCCACTACAAACAATCAGTGAAGATGGCAGGAGGGACAGTGTGCTCCGTTCTCCATTATAGAACCGGACCTTGGAAAGCAGAAACCTTTAATTCTTTCGGTTCCCTAGAGATGAAATCACGTAAGTAAACAACGTCGACGTCTCGTTCCTCATGCTGACCTTTCATCGTCAGAGGTAACTTGACAAGATGCTATCGTTTCAGATGTCGGGAATGGGTCGTTCGCTCCAAGAGGTCGGGTGTGTAAACATAGATCTGTGTTTTTTTAATGCAAATCTGTTGTAAATACTTGTTCAATGTTCAGTAAATATTGTTTCAACAAAAAAAAAAAAAAATTGTCGAATGACATTTACGAGTAGAATCTGAGTTCGCATCTTCAATGATTATCATTGTAGGAATACTAAAATAATTCATACTAATTTTGTCAAGGCCAGCATGGTCTATTAGGAATAATGTTGACTGTCTGCGAAGTAATGTAAAATTATTCCCAACTTTCTGAATATTTTTTCTGATGCCTTGGGCCGCTGCAAAGCACCATCTATTCACAATTTTAAGAATTCGAAAATCACTCCATTAAATCGTTTCATATCTAATACACAGAACCCCACTCCTGATTTCAGAATTTTGCGCCAGCCAGACATTCCCGAAACCACCACTCCGAAAAATTGCCGACAAACCGAGCTCGCGAAAATGGGGCTGTTTCCTCAAGGTGTCTTCTGGGGCGCTTTAGGGATAATCATAGTAGCAAATACTTTGCGGTGAAGTATATGATAATACATTGCTGCGCTTGCTAAACGTGCTTCTCGTGTCGACATAGTGCCTTAATATTAGTTGCTCCGTACTGCTTTGAAGTGCGATTACGACTAACCACACATATAAAAGCAGCTTTCAAAACCGCTCGTACAAATTTCGATACCCGCTGATCGAGCTACATGCTTGCGGTTTATATAAAAGAACGTAGACACAGAGCTCATCCTACGTATATTCGCTCTCTAAGTGAGTCACCAATGAAGTGTCCGCTGTTTTTTTTAATTTCATGAGACGACCTACGTCGCCGCGACCGAACAGCGTGCACACATTGAAGGAAGTTCGGGCGGTAGTAAAATACCCCGCACCGAGAGACGGCGCTAGTCACCAGCCGATTCTAAAGGGGAAAAGCGCAACGCCATGACACATCCAACCAATCAAAGTGCGAAAAGCCTGCTGCCTCCGAAGCCATTGTATTCTCGGGGAGTGTCCTGTATTCCCCCTAGTTCAGTATTTGGTTACGCTTAAATCCTAAATGTATTCTATTGGCGTAACGACGGCAAAACAACGTTTTCGCCCATACTAAAAGACTTGTTGTTTTCTCCGTTTTTTTAGCGCTTTGTGTTTCCAGTGACTACGGAATTACTGGAAGTGATCAAATTCAAGATGACGCCGCCCTTGTGGAGAATTGGTACATGGTATGCACTTTTAGTAGATCCGTTCGGATCTTGCAAAAACCTTCCTAACCCAAAGAAACCGAAAAAAAAAAAAAAAAATACAACGATTTATAAGCTTGCCGTGCAAAAAAAAAAAAAAAAAAAATTGGCCTTAAATTTTGAGTCTACGTTGAACATCGACCCGTAATCGTAAAGGATCCCGTGGTCAGGTGCATGCCCTTTTTATTTAGTACGTGAAATTTAAGACATACGAAACAATTTGAAGGCGTTTGAGTTTGACGTCATTCGATGTCGGATAAGGAAACAATGTGATGCTCCGAAGTCGTAAACCTGCCAGAGACGTCCCCGAAAACTTTTTTGATCACAGTAGACCGGAGATTATGATATACTTGCTGCCTTATAGACGCCGTTGTTGTTATTTTCCCAATGGGTGTTGGCGGGACAACAGAAAGTGGAACCTTGGATGAGTTTTGGTTGTTTGTATCTTATTGTGCCTCGGACCTTTACAGTGTAAAATAAGTACATCAAATATGCTTTCCTGTAGAATTTAACTTTATGGCGCGAAAGATAGAGATAAAACGCTAAACCTTATTTTTAAGCTGAAGCTGGCCTATCAAGATGCAATTTTTTTAGACGCTTCACAGGCATTCGCGCGACAATGACTGTCAGCAGTCCAAAGGAACGCGAAGCGTGAGTTCCATATAGGCGTCTGAAGCTACAGGATTAGCTCACTCTTCAAGCACTTTGATCAAAATCTGCCACTGAAGAAACTTATTTTGATATGACTTTATCGAAACCCAACGCGAGGAAGTTATATCAGCCACAACCTTTAATCTATCAGACAGGTCTCCAAATATATATTTTTTATGTTTAATTTTTCGCAATGCACAGTTGTTTCTTTTGTAAAATATTCTTTAAAAATATGACCACGACCCATGACCGCACGTCTACTTTGCAGCTGTTGTGCGCTATACATGACCAATCATTACGATCTGCGCAAGAAATCTTGATAACGACGAGGCAGAGAAGAACACCCAAATGGTACCTACACTGCGACACAAAGCATGATGCGTCACCCTAAGCTTGTTATGCAATAGGGAACATAATATATTTACGGAAATAAACGCTTCCAGAGCCTCGCGGCTTTCTTGCTTTCTTGCGCTGATCGCTATGATCAGATATCCCCGTGCTCTTTGAAAACCTAGGCGTGTGAACCTCGCAGGCATGAAGCCCGAATATTATTCGAGAAAATGCGATATGTATATACACTCCTAAAGTAACACGCTAACAAAGTATTTTTTTCTTTATTTTTCACTCGACGATTTTTGTTTGATAGCGTGATCTAATTTTGTACGCCAACAAAACGAACTCAACTTTTTGGCGGCCCGAGAGATCTTTCATAAATGGGCGAAGCCCGGATGTGAAAGCGGGTTGCTGAAACAAGATGGCAGGTGAGCTGGTTTATGACTGACATTGTAAGCCCCGTGGTGAGGGTCGCTCGACCAAAAATATGTCTTTAACCCCACCCCCCCCACCCCTTTTAGAAAAAACAACAACAAAACAAAAAAAAAACACGGTTTATTGCAAAGGGGGATTGAAGGAAAAACACGAAATTCAAAAGTTGGTGTTCTGTGTTCGGTCCAGGATTTCTACGCTGTCAAAAGAAGGTTGTTTCGATTAAACGTGTCTCTGCCGCGGCGCCTGTTACTCTGTAAACTGTCACGAGTGAACGCCAACTCGCTTAAAGGGACCATGAAATGACCTTTTTACTTTTTCCAGATAACTTATACATTAAACCGTCAATGTTCACTGAATGCCGAACAGGCATCCGTTTTCGTCTCGGTTTATTAACTGCTGCACAAAAAATTAATGAAATATCGACTTTTTCTTTCTCTCCAACTGACCGCAAAACAAGCCGTGACGTACGCTGTTTCCGGAACCGGAAGTTCTCTCGGCAGTAGGAATGGGAGCGTTAGCGGCGACGAGTTGGGGTGCGCCGGTAGGTTTTACTGCGCTGATGTCACCGACGTATTTTCTGAATCGGCGCCTCTCATCGCCGCATCACAGCTGAGCGAAATTCAACGAGATATGTTGCGCTACAGCGACAGCATGGGACTAGTCCCATACGCCGGTATGCCTGCTGGGAAGTGCAGCGAGTCTTCCGGTGAAGACTCCAGAAGTCAACCCAATTAACTGTCACTGTTGGTAAAAGGCGGCCCGTGTCAGTCGTTTGCAAAGCGACGTAGATGGAAACAAATTGCCGCGGCGTTTTTCGCGGCCTCGGAGATGCAGGAGCGAGCCGACGTTAAAAAAGATACGTTTGAACTACGAGTGTCAGCAAGAGCCACGTAAATACCTGTTCACACTCGGAGCGGACGCGCGCGTTTGATGGAAGTGCTGTATTCGCGCTGTTGGTAAGCGCTTCGGGACCGATCTTTTGCGATTGCAACTCGATACTGACGCGACACTCGGCAAAGAAAGGTTCGACCGGCATTGCACGTATACCTCCCACGAACTGTTATAGCTCGACAGTGACGTGCAGTCTGTCAGAATAAAAATGGCATACCATTAACAAAGTGTACATACCGTGTTACGAAGGTAATCCATACGGCGTTTATTTCAGCTCTATATCACACAAAACAAGAAGATAGAATCGACGAGAGTCCCTTTTCGACGAGTGTTCGTCAACACTGCCTCGGAAAACAAGGGGAAGAGATTGACCTCACCTCTTAATCTAAAATTGAGGTCAGCTATCAAACTATAATACGGGAAGGGTCCACAAGGGTAGCGCGGGCATATTCCATTCAGCACGCCAGCCGGTCGTAGGCAGACGGTCTTGCGACAAAGCAACGCTGCGCCGAGTCGGAGTGCCTGCTAGGCCTATATTCTGAGCAGCTCGCTTCGTCGGAGTCGGTAGATTCGTGGCCAGCGTTCTTGCTCGTCGTGGTCTGTTTTAAGTACTTTTTTCTTGCTGCTTGAAGTCGGCACGCGCGAGAAGAGCACGTAGAAAAATAAACGTTCAGTCAGTCAGAGTTTTGAGAGGGAGGAAATCAAAGGAAAAAAAACGTTCGACGGCCGTCGCGACCCAAGTAACTGAACTCGACCCTGCCCTACTGCGCACGCGCAGTAGTTGCTTCGTTTACCACACGATAGATGGCGCTTGGCTCTCAGCATTATCAAATTTGGCAATTTTCGCCACTCATCTCTAATTATGCTACAAAATGTGGATCTGAATATTATTTAACAAAACTTTTAGGAAAAATTCGCCGGCTATTTATTGTTTACGATCGTGGTGCTGGTGAGGTAGGCTCTAACCCAATAGGCGACGTGGATTCGGCTGACGTGCCCCGTTTCCGCGGATGCATCGTAGTGAAAAGGTGAAGGGAAGAAGGCGCAAAAGAGTCCAGTTTTCTTTTAAAAGTTCTATAGCAAATAATTTTTTTGGTTTCCTATTTTTGTGTTTTTGTGTTTCTTTTCACACCTTTTACGACGTGCGGTGGATGAAATTCGATTTTAAAATCATTTCATGGTCCCTTTAAGCCCCGGACACACTGTTCACGCGTCGTACAGAAAACACGGCGTTCGCTGCCGACACGACGACAGAAATACCTGCTGACATGCCTCGTGCATGATCGAAGGCGAACATGACCGCAGACTGTTTCTTGCACCAAGTGTTAGCAGGGCCGCCTTATATACTCACACTCATCAGAGAGGGCACGGGGAAGACGGCGGTGGCATTGTACGTCCGTCCCTTGACCACGGGGCACTCGACGGTGCCTTTGCAGAGGTCCGTCTCGATGCCAGGCACCGGCATCTGGAAGCCGAACACCTTCACCCTGGCGTCCAGTGTCGCCGTCTCGCTGTCCTGGTCTGCACGCGAGATGCCACGGGGTCAGTGCCTAGCAATACTTACCAGGCTGTGTGCACCGCGCAGACGGCTAATATAGCGAACGCGACATCCGCTCTTCGCATTTTTTTCGAATAATGGACACACGAAGCTCGCGCTGTAGTGCTTATTGATTTCAATCCCACCTCTTGTCCGACCTCCCCGTTTTAATGTACAGCGCCGCCCCCCCCCCCCCCCCCCCCCCCGGCCACACACACACACACAAATATAAATAAAAATATGTTTTATTTTTTCTTTTTTTTTTTTTTTGTTGCAAGAGTGAATTTACGCATTTCCGGACGCTGAGGTCCTGCCCCAATGTAGCCTGAGTGGTCCCACCCAGACTCAGGAGTTTTAAAATAATCCATTATCCTAACAAAAAGTTATAGGGATTTTGTCAAAATTTCAGTGAGAAAATGGCGAATACATGGAGCTGAGTGGCGCCAGTTACAAGGACGGATTCTTCGGAATATCTATCGTAAATCTCGAATAAACTAACGGTTTGTTTTCAAACTTTGGAACCTGGTTGGGACCGCTAGCGCTACGTTGGGCAGAGGCTGAGCGTTTGGCGATACGTAATTCAACCGTGCGACAAAAAAAGTACTTTTGTTTGCGTGTGTGTGGACACGCAAGCACGCACGCAAAACTAGGAAGCCTGGAAGAAGACAGCTGGGAACGTCTAACGTACGTCGTACACCACACAACGCGCACACTGTGAAACACTGCTGAGCGCAAACAGGCGAGTGCGGTTCTTTCTTTTCGTTCTAAAATTGAAGGGTTCTGATCGAAATAACTATAATGGACAAAGTGCTCACTTGGCACACCTGAGAGCTAACATTTGGTGGGAGACAATCCCCTGTCGAAATAAAATTGAAAAACAAAATCGCCCATTTCGTGTTCGCACTAACAGTGTCGCGCCGTCTACATTGCAATTACTTCCTGCATTTTTTTTTAAAGCAGGTGCGTTTTATTTTAGTTGGTCGCGACCCTTTCGTTGGAGTCAGGCGATGCCGACTGACTCCGCCAGAGACACAGTCCCTTACCAGCAACCATAGTGACGTGAATCTTGGCGTCTGTCCCCATCTTGAAGACGCACGGATCGGAGTCGCAGGGCTCGACCTCAACGCTGATGAGCTTGCCCGATCCGCCTGCAAAAGTCAAAGTTCGCTTCGTTCTCCTCCACGCCCACACACGCACACTTTTGCATTGAAAAAAAGTTTAGATGCAAGTTAGAAATGCGCAAAAACCTTCGCCTCCAGTAGAGGCTCGTTGCTTTCCGTCATGCTTTCGTTGGGCGTTCTCTCGAGACCCGGAAATGTTACCAAAGGTTGCAAGCTCGGGCTGGAGGCGGGGCTTCTGATGCCTACGTAATGATTTCTTAATTATTAAGAATGCGCCAAGATAAATCTGAATTCTTAACTCTTGTTCTTTTTCAGTGTTTTTCTTCTGGATGAAGCAAGGCCAGGCAATTGAACCAATGAATGCATTACAGCTCTATACTTAGTTTCAACTCGAGTCCAGACGTAGCCGAAGCTACGATCGAATGGGACTCGGTCCTTTTCTGTTCATGATTGGTTCAGTGATGATAGGAAACATGACGAACACCATGATGGTGCGCTTTTGACGATGTCTGATTGGTCCCGTCAGCTCGTAGCTTCGGCTGCGTCTAGACTCCAAACTTTTGTCTAGTAAATAAAGAAAAACAGGAAAGTAATTCTTACCACAAGGTTTATACACGGCTTTCCCGCGCTGGCAGGACACAGCGCTGACGATCAGCAGGAACACGACGTAACGGAACATGGCTGTGGGCGACTGCAACCTGGGCCGACTCCAGGCTCATCCGAGAGAAAGTGTTTGGAAAGGAAACTCCAGCCACTATTTAAAGGGGCACTGACACCCCAAAGGTCGTATTCTTTTTTATTGTCTAAAACGATGCAAGTTGTAGTCATAAACACGCAAAAAAAAACCGCATCGCGAAAAAAAATTTTCCCGCGCGCGTGCGCGCTTTTTTATTTTTGGCGTTTATATTTCCCGCGCTAACCTCCTTGCTTCTTTTGATCGGTGACGTCAAAAATCAGGAAATTTAGAAGCTTTGAAGGCGACATTTCTATAACATTTAATAATGGCAATCGTAAAACATGTTTTTTAACGCAATGACGAACGCACTACGGCCTTTCTTTTTGAAATACCAAAAATCAAATTTCGGTGTGATGTCGCTTCCTAAATTTCTGTTCTCCCTCGGAAACCTTGGCGGCGCTCGAGCAGAGGCTTATCGCCGAGTCGCCGATCGTTCCCCATCTCAGGGTTTACAAGATGTCGAAGAAACCGGTTTTTCCCCGCGCCGGCTCCCTTCTATCCCGCCTGCTCACCTCCTCCCCTCTTCGGGTCGCGGTAGCAATGGCGCTTTGCTTCACAGCGTGGTGCGGAGGTCCGAAAGAAAGTCGAGTCGCAGGAGGCCGCAAAATTTGACTCACTGCGCTGGCGCGGATCGCGCGGGAACTTCAAATTCGGCATTTGGAAATTGTTTTTTTAAATCACAAATACTGAATTCCCAAGTTTCGAATTTTGAGGGTAATGTCCCGGCATCATTTTCAATCGTTTCGGATAATAAAATAAATTACGATTTTGATGTGTCAGTGCCCCTTTAAGTAGAGGAGGACCAGGTGACCAGGTTCACATTTCCCAGCATCTACGCAATAGATAACCCACGGTCGGAAATATATCTTATCACTCGCGTGTGCAACGGTACTGCAGTTGCGTCAAACATTTGACTTTGTTTGCTCGTGGAGTAACTCTTTTCAAACATGGATACCGATTATCTGCCCACCAGCCGGCGGGCAGATAAAGAGTACTGAACCCCTGATCAGACCGCCAGCCATAAAGTTCACACGCAAAATTCGACCTGTTCTCCCTGATTACTATCTCGATAATACTCTCAAGCCGGGGTAACACTGCTTATACATACATAATACAAGAGATAGTCTGCATGCAGATTCGAACGCGAGTCACCGCGAGATCCGTGCTTCGAATGCCACGTGGCAATGAGTGCAAGGAGAAACCGGCATTTGAAGCACGGATATTGCGATGACTCGTTTTCGCAGACTGTCTTTTGAATGATGTATGAGCAGTGTGACCCGGCTTTATTATGCGCGTGTTGCTTGTGCGTGAGGTTAATGTTATGCTGGAAGAGAAATTGAATTTTAATAGTCATGTCCTGTTATCCTGTCATCTCGCTTAAAAGTGAGAATTGTCACCCGTCTTAGTTCTGTGCTTTCAGATGAATTATTTGTGTGCTTTGTGTAGAAGTTAAGACCGCTTTCGAAAGAGTGCCATCTGTTGGCAGATGGGGAATCCCTGCACAATGGCGGACAAAAACCGCAACCTCACGGCACACGTTTTGCATTTAATTAGATTAGAAGGCAAAAACACACCCAGAGAAAAATGTGATTAGTGCAGTGGATGTTGCACTTTCGACGTTGTTTGATTGGCTCCTCGGCTCCTACCGTGGCCCCGCTCCGACGTCTGCTACCTTATGGAATGACTTGCAGGTTCCACGACGTCAGTTATTGTGCTGCCATTGTGCAGTACCTCCTAACTTGTAATAATCGGCACGCGACTTTCGAAAGGGGTCTATTTTGCCCAAATGAGATGTCGCTTCAGTTGTCTGGAATGATCTCACTGCCACTGCTGTTGCGATTTTAATGCTGAATTAAAAATTTGAATTTGGCTAGTTGGTGCATTGTAATCTAAATAACTTAAAAGCGCAAAAAAGAAAACAACAACAAAAAAAATCAACACGGATTTACCCTGAATGTACCCCCCCCCCCCTCATGTAATGCCCTTAATTGGGCCTTTGATGTACCACTAATAAATAAATAAATAAAAGAGATATACAGTACGGGCTGGCGCAAACTTTCAACTGATTTTGATGGAGGCAGTCATCCGAGCACACATGCGTAAACACTCTCGCCTATACGACCAACCCCTTGTGATGAAAGTACTATATAAACACACACAACAAATTACAACGCTTCAAACATTGGTATAAGATCAACGTGTCTACACAAAATCATCTAGGAAAGAAACTTTCTCGTCATTTAGTAAGATCGAAGGCGAGCTAACGCAGTTGTGCTTTGAGGACTTCATAAAATACGCTCTAACTTTTTCCCTTTCACTCTTTTTATTTTCTCTTTTAATATACTCGGTTAATTCTAAAAAGGGGTCACACACGCACCGCACGCAGTGTCTGCAACATGTCCCCGTGATTCGTCCGAACTGCTACACGATGCTCACGCACCTTCTCATTAAACATTGCCCAGTCTGTCCAATCTACGCGCGCCCGGATATTAGCGGAATAATATAAACGACATTATAAGCACAAGCTGTGTACAGGGTGGCACCCTAAAAAGATGTACACGGTTTGTTTCAACGCAAAAATAAACTACGTATCGCCGAACGCTCATTTTCCACCTAAAGGTACCGAAGTCTGGACCAGGTGCCAAACTTTTCAGCACGAAGTGATTTTTTTTATTCAAAAGTTATCCAAGTTTTTTTGAAAATTTAAATGGGAAAATGGTGTCCGACGGAGCTTTCGAATACATGGAGATCTATGGCGCCAGAAACCGAAAACGGGCAAAAATGGGCCCCATTTCATCTGCAACTCCTGTGAAAGAAGCAGACGAACTTGCGCTCGCTTTAAGCGAAAAATAAAAAAAACAAAACAAAAAAAATAAAACTTTTTTTTTTTGAGTGACGTGCGCTTCTTTGAGATTTGAACACGCTTATGTCTAGTCATTATAGGATAAACTTTTGCCAGCTTGCATGGAGCGGAGAAAACAACATTGGCATCACATGGTCTTTTCTATAAAGTTGTTGGACACGTTGTGTAAATAAGGTATCATTTGAACTTTTTATTCTTTTAATTTTTTCACGCTGGTCGCCCCCTGTGTTTCCTTTACTTTTGATGTCTTTAAATAGGTTTTCACACACACTGGAAATCAAGTCCGAGTATACCTGAATACAGGTGAGAACATTCCCTAGCTTTATCAGCTTAGAATAAGCGGTATAAAAATACAAGAGGCTTTTTCTTCAACGCGATTTGTAGAACCATCACACGTGATCATCTGTAAACGTAAGCTGTAAGTCTAAAAACTGAGTGCGCTTGTCCCTGAGAAGCCTCCCAGTTGAACTTCAATCCGTCCAACATGGTATCAAGCCATTGGACGACCATCGTAGCAACATCATTCAGGCACACATCCAAAGGTGGCAGGGGGGGGGGGGGGGGGGGGGGGGAAGGTACCCGGGCCTTTCGAAATCTTCCATTTTGCTGAGGCCTCCTCTCTCTCTCTCTCTCCCCCCCCCCTTCCCAAATTAAAATCCTGGCTAGACATATCCTCGAATGTTTATCCTGCAATAACCAGAAAATCGTCTGATATCTAAAATTCCTAAGCGCATGAATCTGATTACAGCCTTTCAATATATGCTTGCCCATGGATTCTAGAAAAATATAATACAAAACTGGGGCTACAGAGAAGCCAACACATATACCCGCTTTTTGTAGAAAAAGTCGACCGCAGATAAAATTCCAACAACGCTAAAAAGTGGTCACTGTTGACACATGTAAAATTTTGAAACACAATATCTCTTGATTTATTGATCTCGTCCCGGACAACGTTAAAGATTCCTCCGTGTGGAACCGAATAATGCCTCCGGGCCCTGAAAGTATAATAAATGAAATGAAATGAAAACAGATCCATTACATCAATCGAGAATGCTGAATGTGAGTTCGGCCAATCTCATCTGTAGAACTTGCACTATATTTCATTTGAGATCCGAACCAAAAAAGAAACAAACAAACAAGGATCATCGCTTGCCAGCCTACTCCGATGACGCTGTAAAAATCGGCTTACCCGAACTTGGCACATGTCACCCTCAGAAACAATGACTTGTAGAGGGAAATTGGGTTTATGCGTCTTTCCTGTGATGAACAACTCCAAAAATCCTTTCACCGCCTTGTTCGCAGCCCTTCTAACGCTATTTAGCTGCAATTTCTGGAGCAGCCTGAGTGCTGCTGTCTTTTGTTGTTTAGGAAGAAAATTCTTCACCGGCACAAAACTCAGTTCAACAGCCGCAGTAGCCTCGTCCTGAAAAAGGCCCTCTGGTAGAACGACGAAATCACTCTCTTTGTCCGCCTCTACCACGGTCAGCCCGTTGTCTTTTAAACCACTAACCACTTTTTCGAAGGGAGTCTTTTTCTTCGGCCCCTTGCTCACTGTGCGCCTCAGGCTGTCCACACCATCGTTGATGGCTCTCTTTCGGGCTTGATCGCCCGCAAGGTCCATGGTACCTCTCTCGGGCTTGACCCCCGCACGGTTGCCATGGTACCTATCGTACCATGGCAAGAAGTACATGTTGTCTAGACGAGGGCTCGTAGCTGTATTTTGGTCCCTTCCTCAGAATTGCTTCGGATTTTACTTCTCCAGGCACGTTCGCATCTCCCTGAACGGTGTCCTGGTTAGCAGCTGTAGCTGCGTTGGTGTGTCTCGTCGAGATTCAACCGGGCTCGGTGCTACATGAACTTTCTTGATTGGTACGCTGGCTTCCGGTACTCTGCATGCCGGCATTCTTCAGTGCGTAAGTCACACCCCTCGTGCACCCGCGCCAGTCTTGCCTATCTTGCAGATCCTTCTTGCGTGGCCACAAGAAGGCTCCAAAACTCCGAAAAGAGTCTTCAACTCTAGAAATGAATTCCGAACTAGCTATTTTCGTTTATGGTGTGTTTTTTTATGATGCTTTTATCGCAAGGGGTTGGCAAGATGGGCACCAGTGTTCATGCATGTGTGCTGGGTAGACTGAGGTTAGTGCCAGTGCCAAGCTCACCCTTATCAGAATGTGGTCTTTCACTTGGGTTTACTCAATTTACTGACTAGACGAGGTAGGAATGACCTCGTATTGTTTGGTTGGGTACTATGATAGTACAAATATCATATCTTACATCAATATAAACGTTCCAGTTCGGCATTTCCGTAGCCGT